AGGGGCAGAAGTCCAGGACCAGGGTCTCAGTATCGCCGGGTTCCAGTGAGAGCCCTCTTCCAGATTGCAGCCAGCCATCATTTCCTTGTCCCCTCACATGGCCAAAAAAACAGAAAAGCAGGAACTTTCTCCGGGTGTCCTTCATATAGACTCCACTAATCTCTCCTGAGAAAACTCTAGCTCCATACCTAATGGTCTTCCCAAGGGACCTCTTCCTAATACCATCAAATTAGGTAGTAGAACCCTCTCTCCTCTCTCTCTCTCTCTCTCTCTCTCTCTCTCTCTCTCTCTCTCCCCCCCCCTCAGGCAGGACTGTCTGTGCATGTTCACATATGTATGTGGGTACACATGTATGTAATGTGTACATGCATGTGGAAGCCAGAGGTTACCGCTGGGTGTCATTCTTCAGAAACGGTCCACTTTGTTTTATTATTTTTAATATATTTTAATTAATTCTTTGTGAATTTCATGTACACAAAAAAATGTATTTGATCTCCTTGACTCCTCCTTAATCCACTCCTTACACTCTCATCCTCCTCCTAACTTCAATTTCAAGTCCTTGTTTTTCCTTCTAAATAACCCACTGGACCTGGGTACCAAGTGATGAGATGCTTGGAGCCTATGGGGGACATTATCATCCAAATCACCACACCTGTATATGGTTCTGATTCTCTTAACAGAGTGATGGTATGTTAACTGAAGATACAATGTAATAAACTCTAAACTACTAAGAAAAGAAAAAAATAAGACTAAGCCAGTAGCAGAGACAAAATGGAATAATAAAAATATTTAATTAATCCAAAAGTATTAAAGACAGCAAAAAGGAAAAATAGACAACATAATAGAAATCAGAGCTGGACAGTGCCACAGAAGTTAAGAGCACTGGCTGCTCTTGCAGAGGACCCAGGTTTGATTCCCAGGACCCACACGGTGCCTACCTCCAGTTCCAGGGAATCTGACACCCTCTTCTGACCACTGTGGGCATTGCATGACACAGGTACACTTACATACATGTAGGTAATACACTCATACACATAAAATAAAAATAATAAAATATTTTAAAAGGATAATAGAAATCCATAGAAAAGATGATAGATTTTAAACCAACTGTATTAATTAGTACTTTAAATATGAAGGATCTAAAAACCTCAACTAAAAGTCATAGGTTGTCACAATGACCAAAAATATGTAAAACCCAACCATCTGTTGTTTTCAATAAATCTCATTTTAACAAGTAAACATAAATGGGTTAAATGTAAAAGTATGAAAAAAGAGATATCATGCTAACAATAACCAAAAACAATTCTGACTAGGGATGAAGGAAGGCACTTCTTAATAGCTCAAGTGTCAGTTCAAGAGGTACAGCGATCATAAAATTTTATGCGTTTAAGCAGAACAGAGTTCCAAACTACATAAAATAGAAAGTGGTAGGTCTACAAGGAGAAACACAAAAATCCCTACATCAGGGGATGACAGTATTCCTTCCACAATAACTGATATAGCAAATAGAGAATCAATAAGAAAACGGAAGATTTAAACAACACCATCTACCAAACTGACCTAATTCACATTTATATAGTGCCTGCCTCTCCACGACAGAACACATTGTTTTTATTGTACACTGAACTAAATGGAAAGAAATTCAAATATTTCAAAATCTATGGATGTAGTCATTTATGTCGTTGTAAATCCCTAGTTTCTCTAGTTTGTAGTGTCCGTTACAGAAGCCCTGGGGATGGCATGCCTCCACTCAGGGCTAGTCTCCAGCCTTCTGTCAGGATTCCAATAATCCATTTTACCACCTCAGAGGAGTCACTGCACCACAACTGGCAGCAACTGTCTTTCCTGCTCCACAAGGGCTCTCCAAAGAGCTTCTAAGTTCTGTCAAACCCAGCCCAGTCTCTAGTGGTATCAGTACATTTCTGTAGCGACCCTTGTTCTTTGCCCGCTTGATGCTTTTCCGGTTCTCTGACACCACTCACCCAATTTCATATATTTAATTCACTCCATGGAAGTAGCCAGAATTTTATTTCTGAAAAGATCCCTGACTGGAGCTGGGGATATAGCTCAGTGGTAGAGTGCTTGTCTACCATGCAAGAGGTCCATCTCATCCAGAGTAGGAATTTCAGACTCCTGTACAGTCTGACACCTGGCCACTTCTTTGTGTCCCCCATCTGTGTCATTTTTCAGTCACCCTCTCTAGTCCAATCTTGTGGGCTGGGTCTCTGCTGACCCTTGAACACCACCGAGCATGCCTACTTCATTCCCTTTGCCTCCCTGATCCCTGTGCTCACAGACAGATCTCTGCATGTACATGGCTCGATGCTTTAATCTACAGAATGATTGTTCCTCTCAACTCCTGTGCCTTCCTTCCTCGTGGTCCCTTTTTCTATGCCACTCATGGTCATCTGGTACAATCTATATCTGGTTGTTACCTGCTTCCCCTGTTAGAGGAAGTTCCATGAATGTTTTAAATGTCTGTGTCCCAATTACCTAGAGTAGGATTTGGTACACAAGAACCAACTTTAAATTTTTATTATATGTATATTTAATATATTTATATACATTCATTGTGTATGCGTGTGCATGTGTGTACATATGTGTATGCTAATGAATTCCATAGTGTATGTGTGTGTGTGTGCGCGCGCATATGTGTGGGTGTGTGTAGATGTCAGAGCACAACTTGTGGGAGTCAGTTCTCTCCTTCTACCATGTGGGTCCCAGGAATTGAACTCAAGTCATAAGGCTTGGTGACAAGAGCCTTTATCCACTGAGCCATCTTATAAAGTACTAACTGTAACAAGAAAGATTGAATAGTTAGGGATAAACTCACCCAGCTACCCTGCCATTGTGCCAGTCAGTGTACCTGAAGTATAACCAACCTTCAGTCATTAAATGTGAGTATTTTCTCTCCCTCTGTGGAGTCACACTATGGTAGCAAATTCTCCTGAAGTTCTTCACGAGATGATATGCACTCAAATGTGTGTTCCCTCCTGTCTGACAATGAAAAGGTTTTATAATGTAAACATTTAAAACCTTCAAAAAGTGTCAAGTAAAATAGCCGGTGGGCAATATTTATTGAGAGACTGGTCAGTGTGCCACAGGACTGAACAACTTCTTCATCAAGGTGACCGAAAAGGGATGTGTCTAATTCCTGTACCTGTCATTTACCATCTCATTTGCAAATACTGAAAAGTTTCTGGTAGTTTCAACAATGCATGAATGAAAATGAATGCAGTATGTTCTTAAACAGGTTCTTGAATAGGGCACAGTAGCTGAAGGATACTTCAAACTAGTGATTGCTAGAAGACACTGAGGTTTAAGCTGAGACTGAAATCGAGACAGTGACAGATGAGGCTAAGAGGGAAAGATGAAAGGCTAAGCACATGACAACAGCTTCCTTCCTTATCTGGAGTTTATAAGTGACAGAGCTATGAAGTTGGCCTTCTGTTCCCAATCGAAATCCTACTATGCTTTAAATGTCAGGGTGGGCCTGGAGAGATGGCTCAGCATTTAAGACCACTGGCTGCTCTTGCTGAGGACCCAGGCTCAGTTCCCAGCACTCACATGGCAGTTAACAACTGTCTGTAACTCCAGTTCCAGGAAATCTGATGCCCTCTTCTGACCGCCATGGACATTGCACGACATGGGTACACTTACATACATGCAGGCTATACACTCATGCACATAAAATAAAAATAGCTATTTTTATTTTATTTTATTTTTTCTTTTTGAGACAAGTTCTCCCTGTAGCCGCAGCTGGCCTGGATTCGCTGTGGAGACCAGGCTGGCCTCGAACTCACAGAGATCTGCCTGCCTCTGCCTCCCGAGTGCTGGGACTAAAGGCATGCGCCATCACACCCAGCAAATAATAGCTATTTTAAATATCAGGGTGAAGTCATTTCATAAGCTCCTTCTAAAACATCTTTGCGTTTCAGTTGTTATGTCTCTTCTCCAGAAAGTTTTGTTCTCCACTTAATTTGAAGTATATGTGATTTTTAATTACCTATCTTGGCATTTCTTTAATAGCCCTACAACTTATAATAGTAAATTTATTTTTGATCTTATCATGTGCTTTCTTTACTTGATTATTAACTACCTAGAGTCAGGGTGTTTGTATTATTTTTCATTACTGTATACATATTGCTTAGCACAGGATCTGAATGTATGTTGTGTTCAAATGGAATAAAATAGGACATATTCATGTGAAAATCAAAAATCCACATATATAACTTATTTTGGAAAATCAAAAAGGGTTATTTTAAACATTAGCCAAATTTAAGTTGCCCCAAATTCTTTTATTTAAAAAAAAATTGTTCTACCATCTAGGGACACTAACTTGACATGATAGGCCTTAACACAAATGACAGCATGTATGACTTCCAGTGGGGGGGGGGCTATAGGAGGGTGCCAGTGGGGAACAGGATATAAAGATGATAAAGATTGATTAAGATGCTCTATATGAAATACACAAAAGTTCAGTAAAAATTTACAAAAAGTTGTCCTACATCTGCTGTACAAAAATCATTCCATATATTATCTAACCATATAATGTCTACATACACACACAATTAACATATGCAAAAAGAAGTCATATACATGTTAATGTTTTTAGCTTTATCTATAGTCAATTTCAATATATAGTACATATTATATCTTCTAATAAACCCAAGTTGTTCATGAGAATCATTCATCCAAAGTCAGGAATATAGCCTAGATAATGCTGGAGTTTAGGTGGGATGATTGGAACCAACAGTCCATACCAGGTGACTTGGTGCAGCTTAGAGAAAGGAACCACATCCTCTGGGTAGACACAGAGGCACTCCAGTGGTCAATGCTTAAGGTAGAACTGGGCCAAGATTTCAGCTCCCACTCTAGCTGACCTTGGACATAGACAGGCCTGCAGCACATAGACAGCAGTCTGGGAGAGGGCGGGGCATTCAGTGGCTGTGAGAGCAAGCAGAGCAGAAGACAGAGGCCTGGTCACCCTTGTGCTTCTCCATTCCATTCCATTCTTTAAGTCCTATTTGGTTCATCTGGATGAGTTTGATCAGAAGGGGATCCCTTCTTACCACTTCTGGAGGTTTGGCTGAATATGCAACTTCCTGGATGGAAGGAAGGTCATTTTTCATGTCCAAGTATGGGGATGGCTCTCACCCTCTGTTGCAATCTCCAAGATGGCTTTAATCTTAGGAGATAATCCAGTGTTCGTGTTTGATTCTTAAGAAGTTGGGCTGATGATCTGCTGTAAGTGGAGTTTTCAGTTTTCTGTCTGGAAAAAAAAATTAGAAGTTAGTTCACCTTTGGAACGTTAGTTAGTTACTTAGAAATCATATCAGTGACACTAAGAATAAGCTCGGCTCAATTACCCATAAGTGATGTGATTGCCTTTCATGACCAATGGCAACAATCAATTCTAACTATATCTCTCAAGAAAGAATAAGGAATGTAGCTCAGTTCCTAGAGTGCTTACTTAGCATGATGGAAGCCCTGGGCTTTTATCCTAAGCATAAATCAGGCATGGTATCCTCACTTGCAATCCCAGCACTAAGTGGAGGTAAAAGAATCATCACTTCAAGGTCATCCTCAGAAAGTACAAGGACAGCCTGGGGTACATGAGAAAGCAGGGAGCGGGGGCAGAGAACAAGCTTGTCTCCTTTTGACAATCTTTTACAAATGCTTTATTTCTTGAAACTCTGGATCACAGCTTTTAACAGAAATACAATTTGGCAAAAACCAATGTTAATTTACTGTATGTGCCCTTAGTCTTAAGGTACAAACCATATGAAGGCCTGTCCCAGAATTTTTATCACGAACTTGTCATTAAGAACAAGAGCTTGCTTGAGCCACTGAGATATGATTTTAGAAGGATCTTCATTTGGAGGGGAAAAACATTCAACTAGAATTTGGGAGCTGGGCATTGTAGCGCATGCCTTTAGTTCCAGCACTTGGGAGGTAGAGGCAGGCGGATCTCTGTGAGTTCAAGGCTAGCCTGGTCTACAAAGTGAGTTCCAGGCCAGCCGGGCCTACTAAGAAACCCAGTCTCAAAAAGACCAAAAAAATTTTTACTTTTTGAAGACTCAGGCTCCTGAGTGCCAGGATTGCACTAGGTGGCTAGGAGCCACCACACCCAGATTACTTGGGGGAAGCTCTAATGATTACCAAACCCTGGGTCCCATCCTCCCCAAGAATTCTAGGTATCAAGAGTTTAGTTTTGGGTACGGAGACAGCTTAGTGGGGAAAGGCACTTGCAAAAGACCAAAAAAAAAAAATATATATATATATATATATATAGAATTTAGGAGTAAAACAGTGGGAAGCATTTTAGATGGGTTCCAGGGTGCTAATTAGATGCGATTGTGCCAGTGATTTGATCATGATGGAATTCACCTCAAGACGTACTAAAGGGAGAGCATTTAAAGTCCTAAAATCTTTAAGATGATTTATTTTATATTCAAAGACATCTAAGCAGGAAGAATGTCAGGTACAGTGTGGAAAATACAGCAGTCACATGTTCAAGGAAGCTTATCACAGTCCCTGAGAGAAATGTTAAGCTTGTCTCTAGGGCCTTTGCTTTAGCTAAGGATGGGCCAAATGTCCTAAGAGGTTTTAAGTTTATCCTAACAGGTCATCCCTTTGGCTTAAAAACCAAGTTTCACTCATAAAATGTACTTCAGGGTTTAGGGTATGAAAGAGATTAAGCCACTGACACCACTATAAAAGCAATTAGTTAATAGCCATCCACCTCAACCACCACCAACTTTCACCCAAGCTTAGTGCAGTCTGTGTTGAAGAAGTGAAGCAGACCCAAATATGGTGAACACTCTTCTGTTGCCAAAACGGGAGATCTGTCTTATCTCCTCATCAGTAGCCATCCACCAGGAAATCGGCTCCCCTGTTAGATACCCAAGTGGGCAAAAAAGCACCTTTCCTGCACAGCTTTCTGGTGGTTGGTCCAGATGCTCCAGTAAACAGGAAGTCACAGCTTTTGATAACATCTACTTATTTCTTGAAACGCTACAGGTAGAATTTGTCTAGTTATGGGAAATGTTTATCTGTACATATTGGGATATGTAAGGCATGTCGCTCTGTCCTTCACACTAGCAATTAATCTTCCTTCAAACATCTCTGTATTTGCACACCAGAATGTGTGTGTGTGTGTGTGCGCGCGCGCGCGTGTGTACACTTTAGAATAAACGCTGAGAGAGCAGCCTAGCTTCTGCTAGCCTAAGCTGGAGGAACTTGAGTCCTCAGTTCTCATGTCAGTGAGGCGCCTTAGAGGTACAGGTGGTTCCCAGGGCCAACTTCTCCAAATCTGTGCAAAAGCCACCTGAGGCAGATTCAGGGTCAGCCTGCTGTGGGGCACCCCACCCTGCGTGTGTACACTTTGGAATAAACGCTGAGAGAGCAGTCTAGCTTCTGCTAGCCTAAGCTGGAGGAACTTGAGTCCTCAGTTCTCATGTCAGTGAGGCGCCTTAGAGGTACAGGTGGTTCCCAGGGCCAACTTCTCCAAATCTGTGCAAAAGCCACCTGAGGCAGATTCAGGGTCAGCCTGCTGTGGGGCACCCCACCCTGCGTCACGCTCACGCGTCTGTGCCACAGGCAGTAGCTTGCAGGAACTACGGCAAGAACCTGTGGGTGGCCCTTTTCACCAGTCTAAACCACCTCAGCCTGCTTGGCAACCAGGAGCATCTGGGTTGCCCTTGTATTTCTAAGTCAGGCTGCAGGGACCAGACACCTCCAGTCCTTGCCTGCTGGCGGGAGGGAGAGGCACCCGCTAGCTCCCCGCAGCCGGCTCCAGCCCACCGAGCTCATCCTTCCCTAGGACTTGGGGACCATCCTGGGCAAACTCCCGGAAGGGTCCCCTCTCTTCGCACCTCTCCCGACCCCTCTTACTCACTCGGTCTGGCGGCCTCAACTCCGTCGCTCCGACCGGCTGCAAAGTACCGCTAGCGCCGGCGGCAGCCCCCCCTTCCCCTCTCCTCCACCCGGGGCGGGGGCGCGCAAGAAGCGGTGACGTCAAGGGGCGCGCGGTGGCAGCACCTCCCCGCGCGCTAGTTAAAAAGAAGAAGAAAAGAGGGAGGGAAACATGAGCGGCTGTGTGCGAAGCCGCAGCGCCGGCCGAGGAGACCTCAGCATCCTCGGGAGCCCGGCGCCGGCCCTGCCTCCGCGCGCCCCGCCGCCGCCCTGTGCGTCCCCGCTCCCGTCTCACCTGCACACCTCCCGGGCGCGGACGAGCGAACCTCGGTGACCGTCTCCCGCTGTCCTTCCCGCTCCTCTTCCAGCTCCTCCTCCTCCACCTCGCCGC